AGGCAGTTATATCACACAGGGAGTTCACTTGGTAAATGGTGAAGCCTGGGCTGAAAAATATTTTTAGAAAGTCAGTGACAACTCTTCAAATAAACCAGACAGTTCATTCATCTGATCTCGAAATCACCGAAATATTTTCTTTTGACATAACAAAATTATACTTATTGTAGTTATTATCATTATTATCATATGGACTTCGTTGTTCGTCATCAAACTGGATCACTGCAAACTTAGTTAGCCACATACAGATGGTGAGTATAAATTAATATAATGTGACCCACTTAACATAACAGTTGGAGTTGTGTAATGCAGTGTTCTAAGTTCGCCATTATTCATATATCTCTATGATGGCTGAGAAGCTGTCGAATATTTTACCACCAACTCAGAAACCACAGCCTCACTAGTTTGACAGGATTCAAAAAGGATTAGTGAAGTCTGATGTTGAAGAATAATGAGCATTTCCCTACGAGGACATTCCATCTGGACTTCTGACCTCTTATTCAAAATTCACATAACCTACCCACCACTGACGTCGGATAAATGGGTTCAAAACTATAGTCTGTTAGCAAGCATAAAGTGAGATGACAGCAGGCCACGCATGACGCATATTTCTCATATGCACTGGGGGAGCATGCAAGCCATTGACAAAAGCATGGGAGGACATTCATTATTTAATCCAATTAAGCGGAGATTAAAAATCTCATTAGTCATAAAGTTTCTGCGGGGCCACTTGTCTCGTTGAGAGTTAAGAGTTACCGTCACAAATACTCAGACACTGTTATGACCGTGTGCACACTAGGTAAATTTTGGAATGACTGTGCTAATTACTACTCACAGTATCAACCACAACGACGGCATGACACATAACATCAAACACACGACGCTTGAAGACAGAAGGTAAAAAGCCTGTTGTGGTGGAGTGTGTCTGTTGGCTCGTACCAACCAAGCAAAAATTGCCTAGAAAAATTGCGTATCTTCAGTTCAAATATATATGACTTTGACGGACGCAGGTTCAGTTGATTATATAACTGATACTCTAATAATCAACAGCCAAGTGGATTCCAAGTTTCAAGTGAGTTTAGGTAAATAAGAACAACGAAATGGCTTGTATAAGTAGATTTATGTCTATGTAACATATATGCCGTGGTGGTATACAGTAGTGAAGTTACGAGGCACCGTATAAGATTCAGATTATAATACCGTAATACGTTCACGTCTTCCACGTTCAAAGATGTGCCAACTCTGTACACTGCCACAAACGAGCAAAGCTGTGTAAAGAAGTGCAAGTGAAAACTTGAAAGGATGTATTTTTAGCGAAGTCAAATTTTGACAAACGCGAGTTGAACGCATGAGTGTGTAACCGCGCAAAATATTTATGCAACAAACCAAAGCCAATGTTCTATAATATAGTAACTGATGTTTGACAAGCATATGTATAATTAGTTTCTGTAAACATATAATATGGTTTGTGGATTAGTCTAATAGTCGTACACTTATAGTTAATGTGGAGGCACTGCAAAGTGTCTTGATCTGCCGTAAAAGTACTGGGACACAGAATAAGATGTAGGAAATTCGCTGATATGACAGAAAGTTTGGGTATTGATCTACTGAATGCAAAACGCCGGGCGATGAATACTGAAGGCTTCACATGATCATTCGATGTTGACGTTTGTATCACCAATACAAATCCACCTCTATTGGTACTAATAGGGGGATGGGGCGGTGATGTAACGGGCAGAAGAAACTCATAGCAGCGACGAAATCCGTATCTCTTACTCAGACATAATGAGCTAATTAAGACAAGCTTGACAACGAACATGGACCTATCAGTTGCTGTCTAAATGCATTAGATAGTGTGAAAAGATTGAACAAGAGACTTTTTTCAATACACCATAAATGGTATTTTTGCAAATGATTACTGGTTAGGATTGATTAGAGTTTGTTTGGAGTGAAGTCAGAGTGAGGATTTCTCAGAAGGAAGAATAATATCAAATGAATTAGGCAGAATGTCCACTTCCACTTGTTACTATCTTTCAATGCTGATATGTTGTTCTAGGTCATTCGTCTGCTAACCCATTAATTAACAGCAAAATTTTATCTGATCATCGTAGCTCTTTAGTATTCTTCTTCTGTTTATTATTATCGATATATATATATATACATATCAACTTCAAATTTAATCCGCTGACTGTTGTTACGTTTTCTTATTCTTTTTCTGTCTGTTAGTCTGAATAACTTCACTAATTATATCCATTATTATTATTATCTCTTTTCTTTTGACGACGATACCGGAGGACTAACTGGTGAAAGGATCAACTCCATTCATAGTAGTAACAGTCATATCACACCTCTTACTACAAACCACATATAATTGATTCCAGCACTACTCATTTCGGAGTCAACCAAAGCAACTACAGTCGAGAGGCGGAACGAGCTACGCAGAAGTTTACCGAAGATCAGGAACCTATACCTCACAATCAAGAGGCGAGCACAAAGAAATCAAACTGGCTTATACTAGCTCGTAAAAACGATATTGGAAAGCCCGCCTTAGTAACGTACAACACGTATTAGCCGCAACGTTAATGCGAAGGAAAATCTACCAATCACATTGTGCATAAGTGGCCTTCAAGTGCTCAGCCTCTCCGTAAGCCATTTGTGCCGCTACCCTCTGTCTTTACCCTGACCCGGTATAGGCAGCCTGTAGACGGCCGTAGGTCATTTGATCAGCTGATGTCTAGTGGCTTTATTTAATGAAAAAACTTCGAAATTAGGTGACTTTTTGTTGTTTTACACACTTTTACACTTATATTGCTGCTAAAAGTTGATGTAATAAGCCGTTTTTAGCATAAACAGGAAATGATGGTGTCCTTATCCGGCAGTAATTTACTGCCAGTTTACAAATTGTTGAATTACGTACTTTTCCGTTCGGAAAATGTCGAATTACTTGAAGAGACATATTATAACGACTTCTAGTGAATTTTTTTCCAGTTTAAAGGATTATACATGGACATGATGAGGTGGGATAGTTGGTTTTGTTGATTATTTGATTTACTTTGTTGTGTACTTTTACTAATGCTATCAAAGCTCCTGTACATGTATTTCATTAAAGTAAATTTACAGAAATACTTAGAAATTATATACGCATAGTATTTACTTATTTTATGGCATATACTTGATGTTTACAGGTAGATGCAATATCCGTTTGTTCTTCTTGAAAAATGTTGACTGATGTAATTGTATACAATTGAACTGATTATTTCATCATTTTAAATATGTTAGGTAGTTTATTATTGCATTTACAGTGGTAACAACGTCTACATCTTTAGAATTCTTTTGTTCTTTTTCAGATAATATCTACCTTCGGGAATTTCATACATTTGGGCGAAAAGAAAAAGAAATCTGCCGTGTTGTTGATTATGTATTACATGTTTATTCATCAATAAATGTATTCCTCGTTATTTCTACTTGATAAAGCTGATTTCTAGCGTTTGCGTAATTTGTGAGGTATGGAGTATATGACGTGATCTTCAAAATGCTAGGTAAAATTAGATATTTGGAGAGGCTTATTGATAAAAAGACTATGTCATGCCGTTATGAAGTTAATGCGTCCACTTGTAAAAGAAAACATTGAGGTTATAAGCGCTTAGTTATATATCGTCCTAGTATACTTAGTATCCTATAGGAACCTATTAATTGACTTCGGATTCGTAGTCAAACAAGGTTAAAAGTATATCTACCTGAGACAGTGAGCTTGCGATTTCTACTTATCGTAATAAACCAAGATGGGAATAATGTACCTATACTGTTAGATTTATAACTCAGTGCAACTACGGCTATCGTAATAATTAAAAACAGAATGCCTACTATTGAAATACAATTATACTTTATTAGAATACCTACGGTTCGCAGCTACGGAACACGGTACGTTGCTATCTGTTCATCTAATCGCGTAAACAACAGTTTCCCAGACGCCGCATTTACTCCTTAAAGTTTGCCCTTAATTCCTAACTTAGCACGTGTTACTAACGTCACTGGAACACAATCGCGTTACAACAGAAGGAACACAGATTCATTAAAAAAGTGTTTATTAAATAAAAATTAGATTTGAGATGTACATATAATTCAGATGAGTAGTCTCCCGTCATTGTCAGTAGGTTCCATCTGCGTACCAGCACATATGTTTCTCTATAAGCCTGAAAAGGTTTAAGAAAAGCATTATTAAATTAGGTGGTACATGTATGATCTGAATAAAAAATGTTTCTTCATAAGCATTTACAAGTAATCACTTCACAAACAATATATATAAGTAGCTAAATAGTTTTCACTAAACTCAAGGGACTTCGCAATTTATCGTCGGTCGATATCTAGTAGTTCCCTCGAAGCATCATGAAATGAAAAATTATTTAACGATAAGTTATGCAGTAGTTTCCGAAGCTTGAACAAAGATTTTGACAAAAGTGACAACAGCTTTATGACAGATAATACGAGTTTTGACAGGATTAATAATAATAACGTTCATGTTCATAGTGACTATAAAAACAATAATACGTATTATTATAGCAACGAATTCACCATTAACTTAGATAGACAACTACTTATTATACAATCATGTCAATTAAATGTATCACTTATTCTTATGAAGCAGGTGTTTACTTACTTTCACTGCATTCTCGCAATACTGATGTGGTCGACTAGCTTATTCCAAATGAACTCAAGATTTATCCTGAAAAGGAATGGAGACCCCCTTTATTTCAACTAAAAACATGTAGCCTACATGTATTACACTTGATATGGGATAAATTCATTGAATTCAGCAAATAAATCCTCTGGTTTATCAAATCTATCATGAGCTGTAATATTATGTGCTGTCAATTATGCACCCGACGTGATAAAACGCTCCTGGCAATTGCGAACTTAACCAAGCAGTTAAATGATGTTTGAAATTACCGCAGCTCGAATGACAAACTGGCTAATCACAAGCGAGCAAATCACTTGTTTATCTCACTCGCGGGCACTCAAAATTACGGCCGTCATAGAACACATCCTCCCAGCCGACAGGCTGCTCCCGGTATATCCAGTTTCGAGGTCACGACAGGTTCGTGCGTCTACTGGTTATATGTTTTTGTTAATTCGTTTACCATTAAAATTGAAAGGTTTTTTGGACGTTTTGTATATTTTAAAGTGTTGAGATCAATTCTTGTCACTGGATGCTACTATAAAGCTTATATTTAGTCTGAAGTTCACAGTTATTAAGTTGGCAGTTAACGGTTAATTATGTTAAACCTGCAACCATTCAGCTGATTCACGTATAGTATGCTAAGATTGTAAGGTGTTCATAGCCTAAAATGAAATTTAATTGCAGTCTCTTAAGCTTACTGTAATGCTGAATTAAGTCTTGCTAATTCTCAACTAACTCTAACATTGTGTAGTAAGTAAACTCGGGCACTGTCCTGCAGTTGCTTGATTATTTGCAAAAACTGGAACTGTGTGCTGGTTTATCAGCATGACTGGCACTAATTCATCACCCGCTCTTCTTCTACGCTTTTTCAGAAGTAGCTTGTCAACAAAACGTCATCTAATCACCGTGGCTCTTAGTAATACCAGTGCCCTTAAAAATTTTGTGTCACATCATGATTGAGCGGATCTACAGGTCACCCTAATGAAGACACTATTTGTAGAAGTATCGTCAGTTACTTGTGTTCATATGCCGAAATTAGCCTTACATATTTTAGACGTGGTAGTTTTTCTGCAGGCTCAGGGCACTTGGTCTGATTTTTATAAATATGTCCTACGGGCTACATTCCACACTAACTATGGTTGTGCTGAAAAATGCGTACACTGAAGAGAACTGTCGAGTTACTGTATATAAAGTAATATATATTATTTAGCAAATATATTCATTTATATAATGGCTGTAAATGGGCACTGCAATGGTTTTAGCACCATTACAGCTGTTGTGAAGTGTGTTGCTGGTCGCACATCTAAAATTATTGTTAATAATCTTCACTTTATGACGCATGAGCCAATCGAAGGTGTTTGATGTTGGTGGGTCATATTGTATATCTTCACTGAAATTCTATCCTCACTCAGCTGCTGTGCAAAAGGTATACGAATAGGATTCCGTGTGCTGTATTTTAAAGTTATAAGCATCGGAAAATGCTGAGATTATTACCATCATAATTATTGGGTTGTAATAACGTTTATTCAAGGGTATTTGGGAAGCACGGGAGTATGCATACAAAGGGATTTGGTGAAGCTTTTAATGCAGGTGTGTTTCAAAGACGTTTCATCCTTCCCACTACGCTACTGTTCCTACTATACTAAGTGACCTACGATTGCGAAAATCTAAATTCACGGTCTCTATGTGCGTAGCATGTCGCCAATGAGTTATGTTTTGTTTATGTGGACGAAGATTTTCACGTTTGGTGCCATGTGTACGTCTCATCACCCTTAGTTCTTTTTATATGGAGCTTCGCACAAAAGTGTAACCGTTCATGTTGTTGCACTATATAGTTGTATAGTACACAGGTTGCAGAAACAGTGCAGATGAACTGAGGCGTATGGAAGAAAGAATAAATACAAGAAAGTTACTGAGCATTTAATAGGTTTTGGAGATAACAAAGGGTGAATGCATCTGCACCATTGGGAACGATTTTAAACCATAGACATTCTCAAGCAATTAGTTCTTAGGCTGTCGAGGACCGCAAGCAAACAGTTCACACTTCCTTACATGGCTCAAACCAATATCCAAAGACTTCGTGGATTTATTTGACCACTCCTAACTCCATTCCAGCCTAATCCGACGTCAGCTTGCAATAATAAACCTTTCTAACCTGATTAAATACTGCTCGTTTTATCAGACAGTTCATTCTGTTTTATGAATGTCGCTGTATAGGAACATCTTTACAAGTTTCCTATTACCCTTTAGTTGTGTGTCGTTTTTACGTCTTCTGAAAAATGTTGGTTCAGTATTGTTTGAGATGCTAACATCTAAGTTGTTGAAAGAAATGTAAAAGCTTAGTGAAGTCAAATACAAATCAATTGAGAGGTTTTCATAGTTACTCATCTTTATAGAAATCGCGTTAAGTTATATAATTATAGTTTAGTAAAAGAACGTTTAATTTCCGGTTGTGCCAACCCCAGTCTCTCCTTATTAAGCACAATTCTGACGGAAGACTGAACTTATGGCAGTCATTTTTAATTTCGTATCTGTGATTATCTATTCCCCTCTGGTATCTCCGCGGAGATGTATATTGCAAGAATAGACAAAAGACTACGGGGCTGCTTTACTATTCTTTATCACAGAAAACTGATGATCACTCTCCCTGTAAGTCAGTTCTTAGAGTTAATGACTCAGTGGGAGGATCATTTTTTCACGGGGTCAAAGTTCATCTGTAATTCATCTGCTGTATCCTCTGAGTTCCTCCAAGATGGTGGATACGCCTTGCTGACTGGTGAGTATCAACAAGTACGAAACCTAAGTGCAAAGTTTACTGCCGATTACCTCCAACCATTTAGTAGCAACAATTGTTCCTATTTATAAGTATGGGTCTCACTTTTCATTACTTAAGTTTGGTATACATTGTTGGAATATGCGATAGATGTAAAAATTTCGGAACGAATTGCTGATCTAAAATCTCAACTTGGCAACTTATTCAATGTAAATCCGTAATATAGCGACTCATAGAGGTCTTTTATAAAATAATGGAAAGCCGAATACTTAGAATATCCGTCTGTTTAAAAATTTCTATTTACCTATATTCTTGCACTTAATAAGTATTGGGATGTTTCTTTTTGATTTATAGTCATGTCTCTGAGTTGTCTTGATGATAGTCGTTGGTTATCTGCGATACTGCCTGATGCAGAGGAAACACAACCAACTCCAATCTCACTTATATTAGATCCTTTGGCCAATGAACATTATCAGTTGTTACTTGGAGAACTGTCGAAAATTGAGATGGTCAGTAGTAAAGGTAAGAAATAACATTCAAATTTTAGTATTAATGATAGAATTCCACTTGTGTCATCACTTATTAGAAACCATACCCAAATAAATATCCGGACTCAGGTCTCTGAGTTAGTATGAGTGTGGTAGCCACTTATTAGCATGTAGAAGCAAAGGTTGGTTTAATAGAATTAGGCAGTTAGAGTAAATGGATGCCTTTCGTTCTGTTTTTCCCAATATATTTGTTTGGGAATACACATTCAGGTTTATAAATGTATTGAATGGTTGTTTCAAACGGCCATTTACTCACTGTCTACTGATAAATAGCACATATAGTGCTGTACACACGAACGAATTTTGCAGCTAAGCAGATTTTAGTAGCGGTAATTCTCAGTCTCTTGTTCATTGGTTCTAATATATCATATCCAGGATTTGATTCCCGGTCGTTGCACACCTTTATGTCCCTTTGGCGACTGTAAGCCCAATGAAGAGGTAAGGTTGGGCGTAAGACTAGCAAATCCACCCGGCAAAAGAAAAACCACTGCTATTGAAACTTTGGAGCTCTGGCTTGAAGCCCTATTTTCCACTAGGAACTCACGAGGATGAAAAAAATGAAGTAAGCTGGATTAAAGCAACTTTCTTTCAACTGTTGTGATGTTCTTTTCATCTTCGTGCTTTAAGGGGTGTTTAACAAAGACCTTTGGATATTTTTCAGGTAATTGTTTTTCAAAAAGAGTAAGTTCGTTATTCGATCTATCTTTGGCAAAGGTTTCATGCTGTGTCGACGTACTACGGATGACCAGCCATGAACTTCCTTGATGAGGAACATTAGCTGAAGAAGGAATAGGTTAGAAAGGATTTCGATGTGGTCAGGTAAACCACTAATTGATGGATTCAGTGGTGTTAGGGTTGTTGAGATGCTAAGAATAAGTGAATGATGACTTTTTTCATAATGGCACCAAAATATTCACCTTTTATCCTTGCAAAGCCTCCCATCTAACCGATGTCAGCTCATGATGAAATCCTGTAACCAATCAAATCAAACCCCGGGGAACCAACACTTGAATATCACTGTGATGCTCAGTAGTGACTGACCCTACTCAGATAGGTAGTTACCTGGGTTCTAATGAGAAATTGTAACCAGTGCGGTACAGCAGGTCGGGTGTGAGGACATTGACTGGTGGTCGGGCTATATCGCAGATTGGCAGAAGTTGGAATTCATTGGCCATTGGATCGGGTCCCAATGGCTTGATGGTTTGTGAGCTTGCCTCAAAGTCGGAAGGTCCTAGGTTCGAACCCCGGTGGTTGCGCACTGATGAAGAGTTCCAGACTAGTGTGACGAAACAGCGTTTCAGTACTCCCAGGTTTTCCGATGGTAATCTAACCGATATGTTTGGTCGACACGTATATTTTTGAATTTATTTTTGTGATACTGGTAATATTACCGCTATTATTATTATTATTATTATTATTATTATTATTATTATTATTATTATTACCTATTTATTCCACAGGTCTTTCTCGATTAGGTCCCAGATGGATATTATATGTTGATATTGTTGGAGTTGTTCGTACTCTTAATGAACGTGAAAGATTTTACGCTGTTGATTGTAAGTTTTAAATTATTGAAATTCACGTCATTTTATTTTCATTAATTAAAAAGATTGATAAATCTGCTGCTGCGTTTTCAGACTAATCTTGTAATCAAGTGACTCATTGAATTTCAACGTAGAGATTAGCACAGAAGTATAACAGCTCCAGTGGCCACACTCCATATAGCACATAAACGTAGACAAAAGACAAAATGAGGGATCCAAAAAACTATAATAAACAGAAATGTTTGGCAGGTGTGGTCATAGAGTGTGAATGCATCTAAGCCTCTGAGAACAATTTTCAACCATGTCACCAGTAGTAACTAGAGGACTCCAACCACGCAGCCTGAACCTCCCTACATGGTGGTTCAAGCTAACTGTCAATTATTTCATGGACTGATGGTATGTTTTGATTTGACTACCACTAGCTGTTTTCCAACCTAGTCCTGTGTCAGCTAACATTGATAGACATGCATAGCACGTGTCCTAGCCATGTCGCAACCTCACCGATTGACTTTCCCTCCTTACCTAAAACTAGATGCCCAACCTCAACATTACTATTATTATTGTTTCCTTTAATTCCTAGAGGAACATAGGGCTTCAGCCGTGCGTCTTCATTGCGTTCGGTTCTCTGTTAGAGTCTTCACCTGGCTCCAAGTCTGCCCACACGCTTTCATCTTCTCTTCACATGACCTCCTCCAAGTCATCCTTGGACGACCAACTCGCCGCTCTCCTTTCGACTTTTACTCGAGGGCTAGTCTAGTGATGTCACTTGATGGTTTCCTCAGAGTATGGCCAATCCACCTCCATTTCTTCCTGCCTATTTGTTTCACAATCGGTTCCAGGTTGGTTCGCTCCCAGAGATCTGTGTTGCTGATCTTTTCTGGCCATCTGATGTTGATTATTGAGCGAAGACAACTGTTAATGAAGGTCTGTGGTTTGTTTGAGATGCTCTTTATGACCCGCCAAGTCTTTGATCCGTATAGTAGCACCGACTTCACATTGGAGTTGAAAATCCGGATCTTATTTTTGATGCTTAGTGCTGTTGACCACCACACAGACCTGAGAGTAGTGAAAGCTTATCTTGCTTTTCCTCAACATTACTCACCCTATTATATCACCTAACATAGGAGATAGAACTCAGACACCTATGATCAAAGACAGCTAACTCTTCAGAATTCGATTCCTCGTCACATGATTCTGCATTTATATGCGTCACCATTAAGTTACTAGGGCATATATTCGATACTCTTTTTGATCACTGGTGACTACTAACTAATATCATTTTGTCTCCAGTAGTGACCAGTCAGTGTATCTCTTTACAATGTTACAATATACATTCATGTTCCAGTTTTTTTTGGCATTTAATTTTAGTGGATGATGGTACTGGTTGTCTAGCGTGTACGATATGGCGTCCTGATTACTCTCAGCATAATTATTCTCAATCATCCATCAAAACGGATACTATGGACTCTGAACAAAGTTATATATGTGAACAACTAGTAAAATTAGCATTAAAGTCACAGCCTGTTTTACCATCGTCATTGTTGTCATCATCATCCAGTTTACGTGTTGGTCAAATTCTACAACTTCGTGGCCGGTTAAACTGTTTCCGTGGAAGGTTGAAACTCAATGCATATTTTTGTCGTAAGTTGATTCCTATTCTTAATGCCTTATGTCTTATGCTAAAGTTATATGAATAATATTTAGTGGGGGATATAAGCCTTATTGGCTTAACCAGTCGACTTTCAGACAATAAGTCCCGGGTGCGAGTCTTACTTCACCTACTTGAGTCTAGCCAACTGGGAAATGACGTCAGCCTTCATACAGTGGGTATGGTTCACACCGTGCTACATAAGTCTGTTCTATGCAACTGAATTCCAACAAGATGAATATTTATGTAGTATTGTCTGGGCCTTCAATTCAACCTTTCAAGTTAATTGATTTCGAAATGGTGCAGTGTTAAAAAATGGATGGAATTATATGTATAGTTGCGTCGGTGGTCAAGTGGTAGAACCATGCACGTGGTCCGGGATTCGACTCCCGACCGCTTAGCCGACAGTAAGCCCAGTAAAGAGAGGAGGTTAAGCGTAATGCCAGCAACCTCATTCCGTAAAAAATAAACACCACTGGTACTAAGACTTCAAAGCTTAAGCATGAAGCTCTATTTTCCACTTGGAAGTGAAAAGGAAATGCAAACAAACATTAAATGTGAAGCAATGGCCCACCTGTTATCATACTTAATAATTCACTTGTGGATTATGAGTTCCAACTAAGTTTCGCTTAGAATAAGGTGAAAGCCAAAAAAACTGGCTAGAGAGGCTGGCAGGCAGCGAAGACAGAACTTTAGGTGAACATAGAGTAGGTGGGGGTGATGAAGAAGATAACCAACCAACAGCAACGACAACAACAACAACAACAACCAGTACCAGTCACCATCAATGGGATGAAGAGATTTGACAGAGGTTACTTCCTTCATTTCAACTACAGGTGAAATGGATGGAGATGTCAAAGCTGGAATCCGAAAGTCAAGGTACACCTCCATCACTCTGAAATCAGTTTGGAAATCTGTTGCATTTAACATAAAGAACAAGATTCGGATTTTCAGCACCAATGTAAAGTCAATTAGTTCTACTGTATGGGTCAGAGACTTGTCTCTCGCGTCACAAAGGCACTTCCAAAATGTTGCAGACTTTTATCAATAGCTGCCGTTACTAACTCCTTATTGAAGACGTAATGGCCAAAAGGAATTCGAAACAAGAAACTCTGGGAACAAACCAACTAAGAACCTGTTGCTCCAGAAATATGTGGAGGAGAAATTAGATAGGTCGGGCACACGCTGAGTAGACAGTCGAATGACATCGCGCACCAGACCAGTGTTTGAGTGGAACCCGAATGGGATACGGTAAGTTGAACGATGGTCCGAGGATGATATAGAGGTGATCGTGTGGGGAGGAGATGAGAGAATACGGGCAGTCGTGAACCCAGTTAAAGAGGATCACGGAGAATAGGACAGAGTGGAGACGTCCTTTTGAAGCCCTATGTTCCACTGGGGACCCAAAGGAACAATAATAATAATATCTTAAAGGTTATCAAATAAAAAAATCAATTTCTCCATCCAACCAAATAAATATTGCCTGCAACTTTTTTATTGTTGTATCTTTGCTCGAGAACTCAGCGTCTTTCTTTGGCATTTGAAGTGATGAGATGGGTAAATGGAGGGTTTGAATCACAATGGGAACACCATTACTCCCTGAAGATGAAGATACACCTAGATTGACGCGTGTGTCCTGGGTTCAGCTGCCGGTTTCGGATATAATTTCAGGATCTTTTTGAATAAATTTGCTTTTACGAGTTGATCGCGGATTGATATCTGTCTGTCTGTCTGTTTTCAACATAGAACTTTGCACAGATGTGTAGCAGTTCAAGTCGCCACACTCCGTCCATGTAGCACACAAAGCAAGAGAAGAAAGTAGAAGAAATGCAAAATAGAGACAGTAAACAGAGATATGAGACAAAAGAAATAGTAATATCGAAGAATAGTATAGTTTCATTGGGTATTATAAGTCACAAGGAGTGGATGCATCTGCGTAATGCATTTAGAACGGTTTTGAGCCATATCACCGATTGTTTCCAGCCATTGGTTTTTTACCGTCCCGAGGACCCCAACTAGTCAGCAAATCTACATCTTCCTACGTGGCTAGCTTAGACTAACTGTTGTGGATTTCATTGATTGATGAGGCCATGTTTTGGTTCGACCGCCGTTAGCTCTTTTCCAGCCTGACTATTTCAGCTAACATTGCCTGTTGTCGAGGAAGGCGACGACTGGGCATGCATGCGCAACACATTTCCTAACCATCTTAATTGGTGTCTATTAATTTCCCCTCCTTACTTAGCACTCGACCGATGTCTAACCTCAATATTGCTCACCCTGTTATACCGCTTCACACAGGAGATAAAACGTAGGCACCTATAATCAAAGACAGCTAGTATTTTCATCATAGATGCCTGCATTCAGTTCGATCAACTCGTAAAAACAAAACTAATCCTTACAAACCAGCTATAGAAAATGAATATGTCATTCGTAACTAAGTGTATTTTTGAAAGCTCAACTCAACTTCTCCCTTTGCTTACAGGTTCAATCAAAGACGAAGGGGAATTGTTAAATCACATAATTCATAGATATCATTTACATCAAGAGATTTATTCACATCCTTATGATCCGGCAATTGTTGCTGAAAATGTCAAAAAATCTCATGTAGTAAGTTTTTTTTTAAATTATCAATGGAGTGAATTAAATGCAGATTTCGTCACTCATTGACACCACTTAAAGAATCATTGGAAACGTACAGACAGCTGTTTCGTTCTAGTTTAGGACTCTTCATCAGTCCACACCCACTACCTTAGCTGGGAAAGGACCCAAAACTTTCTGAGTAGTGTTAAAGCATATCGCTAAACTCAGTAATTTCAGTGAACAAGTCCTGCTAGTCTATGGCAGTAAATGTTGTCTCACAGTCATATCTGGTGCAGCAGAATCCAAAGTCAAACACATATAAAATTGTATCTTCATTATTTCATGATAGTATCTGTAGCTTGTGTGCATCGGTGGCACAGCAGTCAGGATTCTCGCCGAATATGCACATGGTCCGGGGTTCGTTCCCCGGCCACAGACGCACTCCTTTACCTCGCTAAGCCAGTAATATAAAAGAAGTAGGTAAAGAGGAAAGGTTGGGCATGAGACTAGCGACCCTATCCTATGAAAATAAACACTGCGACAGAAACTTCAAGCCTCTAGCTTGACGCCCTATGTTCCACTGGGAAGACAAAGGAATAAAATAAAATATAAAAATACTTGGATTTAGTAACCTGTTCGTTTCATTCTAGATTATTTTGACTATGTGCAATTTTTATGATATACAGTTGAGTTGATGATGAATAAAACTGCAAGAGAACTTGAAATGTGTTATTTTTACTCTAGTTGGGGGCTTTCGTGTGATTAGAAATAGGCAGATAGTTTTGCGGAAATACCAGTCTTAGTATCATATTCCTTAAAGTTGTAGACCAGCACAATCTTTTCTTAGTAAATAGAAATGTAATTCATCAAAAAGAAAGACAAGTTTTGAACATATGAGGTACCGATTGTAAAAGTCAAATGCCTATTAATGGTAGGATTTAATTTGTTTACAGATTTCCAAATCTTTACACAGTTAATACTTAACGACCCAGCGTTTGACACGAGTAAAGGGGGCTTTGTGTGCTCTTCGGTCGGTCGGTCGGTTTTCGACATAGAACTTTGCACATATGTGCGGCAGTTCAAGTCGCCACACTCCGTCCATGTAGCACACAAAGCAAGAGAAGAAAGTAGAAGAAATGCAAAATAGAGACAGTAGACAGAGGTGTGAGACAAAGGAATAATAATAACGAAGAACAAAACAGTTTCATTGGAAATCAAAAGTCACAAGGATTGGATGCATCTGCGCCACTGAGAACGACTTTGAGCCATATCACCGATTGTTTCCAACCATAGGTTTTTACCGTCCCGAGGACCCCAACCAGTCAGGAAGTCTACATCTTCCTAAGTGGCTTAGACTAACTGTTGTGGATTTCATTGACTGGTGCCATGTTTTCGTTTGACCGCCGCTAGCTCTTTTCCAGCCTGGCCCTATATGAGCTAACATTGCTCGTCGAGGAAGGCGATGACTAGGCATACGTAGCACATGTCCTAACCATCTCAGTCGATGTAATTTCACAGTCTCGTCGACTGATTTCCCCTCCTTATCTAGCACTCGACCGATGCCTAACCTCAATATTTCTCACCTTATCATACCACTTTACGCGGGAGATAGAACGCAGACACCTGTGATCGAACACAGCTGATCTTTTCATGTCTTCTGCTCTCAATGGTCAGGTCTCACAGCCATAAAAGAAGACGGAGCGGACTGTTGAGCAGTACACACGCCCCTTGATCGATAGTCGGATATCACGTCTACGCCAGAGACGGCGTAAACTGGCATATGCGAAACTAGCCCTCTGTATTCGTGCTGAGATTTCGTCGGATATCAACTTGTTGGGGCTGATGTTACTTCCCAAGTAAGTGAAGCGGTCAACGTGTTCTACCACTTCAATTCCTATTTCTAATCTAGGGGTCGGTGAAGTCCAATCCTGCAGCATCATCTTACATTTTACAGGGGCGAATCGCATGCCAAACATTCTTAGATTGCAGCTCAAGGTGTTCAGTAGACTCTGCATTTTGTCAGAGTCCTCGCCTAGAAGGACTATATCGTCCGCATATTCTAAGTCAACGAGATTATTCCCTGGTAGCAAGTCAATCCCTGAGTCGCTGAAGTGAGTTAGGGTTAAGTCCATTAGTACGTCTATGATGAAGTTGAATAGGAATGGGGATAATGGGCATCCTTGATGGACGCCACTAGTCGTCACCACTTCAGATGACAACTCGCCATAAGCCCTCACCTGGCTGTGTAACAACAGAAGACAAGGGCCAGGCAACAGATCGTTTATTACGGAAAATCAACACGTATTTATAGATTTTGATGTACATTATTGTAGGTTAATGTTAATAGAAAATACAGTCTGTTGATTGGTTGTTTCTCACACAAGGTTAACCTTGCATCTCTTGTGGCTGTAACAGTTCATCTATATATTAACTGTATCCGCCTGTCCATCTTGACCTTTGACCTCAATTACTGTCAAACAATTTGGCTAGCAACCATCTCTCACCACACTCGTCCCCCCGTCAAAGACTTGCGACTGAAGTTGGTTCGGTCTTCTCGGTTCTTGGGGCTTTGCTCTTTTGTCTTGCTGTCTGGAATCTTGGCGCTTGCGGATGTCCACTTGTTTAACGGTGTTTACCATTGCGATTGTGTCTGCGTAACCCCATCTCAACGTGACCATATATGGTCCTTCCCACTTTGGAAACTGTTTGCCTGACCCTGTCGCACATTCGTAGGTATTTCGCCTCACACTTCCATATGCTGCTTTCTCCCGACCTCCCAGCAGCGTCCCAAGTAGCAGCCTCATCGCTAACAGATCTTGAACGCCACTCAACTGCGAAGAAGCCTCAAAGTCCTGCCCGAAGATCCATATGTCTCCATCATAAACTGCAGGGCATAGGCTTTCCATTTGTCGGTAGGCAGCGACACCAAATGTAACAACAGAAGACAAGGGCCAGGCAACAGATCGTTTATTACGGAAAATCAACAAGTATTTATAGATTTTGATGTACATTATTGTAGGTTAATGTTAATAGAAAATACAGTCTGTTGATTGGTTGTTTCTCACACAAGGTTAACCTTGCATCTCTTGTGGCTGTAACAGTTCATCTATATATTAACTGTATCCGCCTGTCCATCTTGACCTTTGACCTCAATTACTGTCAAACAATTTGGCTAGCAACCATCTCTCACCACAGCTGCATGAGTTCGAGTAGAGTGCCTTGATCAGTGCAATGTATTTTCTCGGCATTTTGTGTGCTCTTGGAAGTGTGTGGGTGGTTGTTTCTTCCCGGCCGCCCACACCATGTAAGTTGATTGATTCTTCGGGTACCTGAAACAGAAAGAGGGTTAGTGTTGCGTGACCGCAGAGCCCAGGGGGCAACTGCTTGAGGCCGGTCACACACGACCTGTATGAGCTGGTCTCTTGGTTTGGTTCCGTATTAGTAAACTTACCATTGGTCACGGACCACCGTAGGGTAAGTTGGGATGTACAATTGTTGTGGTCTACCTTTTCTAACCCCCTCTCTCCAGAGTGGAGGGACAGCATAGCTGGCTGGCATGCTGGTCATCTGAAAAAAACACACCTTACTGCGGCTGTTACATCCCTGTTCCCCAGCAGTACGATTTCGCCCACAGACCTGCAGCATAGTGTAAAAAAATTCTTACATTATGCCGGTGACTGCTTTTAATCTAATCGTTATCCTAACAAGCTTCCTGGCATGGTAGGACATGCAGGAACAATAATTCCAGCCAGTGTAGCTTGTTGGGTCATTGCAATGTGCAAGCCCGACCACTATGGCGTTAAGGTAGCAGCTATCGGACGGTAAAAACCAATGGCTGGAAACAATCGGTGAAATGGCTCAAAACCGTTCTAAATGCATTACGCAGATGCATCCACTCCTTGTGACTTATAATACCCAATGAAACTATACTATTCTTCGATATTACTATTTCTTTTGTCTCATATCTCTGTTTACTGTCTCTATTTTGCATTTCTTCTACTTTCTTCTCTTGCTTTGTGTGCTACATGGACGGAGTGTGGCTACTTGGACTGCTGCACATCGGTGCAAAGTTCTATGTTGAAAACAGACAGACAGTTTGACACAAGTGATTTATCTTTAAACTTCATCGGCTGCGAAAAGTACTCACATGTGGAAATAACTATTTAATCTGAGTCATGCTTATATATATATATATATATATTATATATATATATATATATATATATATATAAGAAGGGAAAAGAACAACAAACATGTATGGTTAGCTCTAGATGGAGATTGGGCTTTTATACCAGCAGATAACTAGCAAGTTAGATCACAGTCTAGTTATTGGATATACCAAACAGGATGAAGGCAGCATTCGGTCAGTAGAGTGTCATTCCAGCACTAGTGAATTACTTTCGGTGAGAACTATCTGTTCCATTAAATTACGTGCGATAGGTTAAATGAAGATTTGAGTTGCACTACGAGTCGACTCAACTACCTCTGAATTATCAGTCTGGTGCTTTACCAGCTGCGAGGATTTGGAAATTCAGATAGTCACGCTATTATTATTATTACGAAAAGAATTAAAACAAAAACTTGGTACATTATGAGCACCAAAAGATGCGCCAAGCAAAGTCTCATAGATTTTGCAAGGGCTGGAATACGTACCGCCCGGCCACTAGAACTGACGCAGGTGGTTGTCTAAGGGACCACCCTCTCGAATCTGATTCATAAGGCAGTGTAGCTGCGTCAGGAGTTCCGTTCCTATGGTTACCAGTGACCAAAATATCATTCAATCCTTTCGGACTCTGGTGCTCGTGTACAAAATAAAAGATTTGGAATCATGGTTCCCCAGCTTCCCTAGGTAGACCTGCACATCCATACAGTCCGGTTGTAATCTCAAGACGTTCGTATTCACGCCTTCACTTTCCTGAGGAACAAACCCGCTGCGGCGTAAAGGCAGTAAATAGGATCTACCTAGTAGAGACCACTTGGCCGCATAACAACATTTCGAGATAAAGACTGAAGTCTACCCGCCCTTGGTATAGTGCCTGGTCGTTTAGGGGGGGGGGAGGTCACATCATCAATTGTATGCGTTTAAGAACCCAAGGGCTACATGTTGCACTCACGCTTCGATTTTGTTATTATGTCTTTTTATTATTGGAAATAAGTATTTTAGATTTTGAAAAAATATTCGTTAACATTATTGCATTTCTTTTTCTCTCTCGTCTTTTTCTTTTTTGAAAAATCTTATAGACAAATTTAGCGAATTCTCTTGTAACAGAATGTTGTAGATATCTTGTCGAGGATAATATTCAGTTATTCACTAAATTAGACTTATGTGTACATCCCAAAATAGTTGAATTAATCACAGATAATTGGACATCTTTAGGTGTGGTAAGTAAATACTTTAAAAAACATTTTTTTTATTGTTTGCTTAATATTTTCTTTTTCTAGAACGATATACTACTATTTAATTAAGATGATAAGTAGTTGTATGCCACTCACATTAACTAGTAGTGTGTTCGCTAGCCAAATCGACACCAGGCAGCGGTTTCACTTCTTTTGGCGTCGAGCTCAGCTCAACGATGTACACACTGTGCTTGACTCAGGCTAGAGAGCTGAATTTAGCTGAAACCACCCGATTTATGACTAGCTATTTTGGCAAACTGGTGATAGCATATTTCAAATTCTCAATTTGCTAATTAATTAGATATAATGGAGAAGATTTGTAGCTCAGGTGGATGATTTTAATGTGGTTGTGTTCTCTGAGCTGGATGGTTTTATTTGCGAAGCTTTTATTGTCCTACTGGGCAACAACATCTTCAGTGCATACTTCAATTTAAATTGAAGTGAGCTTTTACATTTCTCCACTAGTTTATTAGTCATCTCTCCCGGTGACCTAGGACGTGATTGGTTGTTTTTGTGTGTTTTCACACTCTCTAGGCTACTTGTACTATTGGAACTGATTGTTTCTTTGACTTGAACTTTAACCCTTTGTGTATGAGATTTCCTTACCGATTGAGTATTGGTTTGTAGGGATTTGATTGATTGGTTACAGGATTTCATCATAAGCTCACATCGGTTAGAGAACCAATGTAAAACCAACTGGGAGTACTGAACAACTGTTTCGTCACACCAGTTTGGGACTCTTCATCAGTACGCACCCACCACCAGTGTTCGAACCCAGGACCTTCTGACTACAAGGCGATCTAGCTCGTAGACCATTTAGCCACTAGGACCCGATCCAATGGCCAGTCCATGAATTCTAACTTCTGTCAATTCATGACATAAGGCGACCACATGATAAAATCCTGTAGCCAATCACTCAAATCCCTACAAACCAATACTTGAATATCAATGAGATGCTCACTGGCGACTGGCCCTATTCAGGTAAGTAGTTACCTGGGATTCTAGTGGGAAGTCATGACCAGTGGGGTACAGCAGGTCGGGCGTGAGGACAAACACTTACCAAAGACACTGGTAAGTGGTCGCGCTATTTTGTTAATTGACAGGAGTTGGAATTCACGGACTGGTCATTGGATCGGGTCCAAGTGGCTTAATGGTCTACGAGTTAGATCGCCTTATAATCAGAAGGTCCTGGGTTCAAACCCCGCAGTGTGGGTGCGTACTGATGTAGAATCTCAAACTAGTGTGACTAAATAGCTGTCTTGTACCCCCCAGTTGGTTTTCCATCTGTTCTCTAACTAATGTCAGCTCATAAGGAGATGCTGAATATGTTGTTTAAAAAGACATTAAAAGCTTCACACTGAAGCCATTTAACTCAGAGGAGCGCAGCAACACTCACATTACAATGTGCACAACCAACATGCTTTTCCACTACCTCACATTACTCATTATCTGAGAGTGTAAAGCAGTTCCTATTCACACTCTAAGACATTGTAATAGTATACAAATATTAGAAATATTCATGGAAGCCTACTATTTGAACAATCCTGTGAGGTTATTCAATGTATTGAATTGCTACTTTATTGTTAACAAAAAAATTAAAAAAACAAAACTCAACTGTTTTTCCTACAGGCATACGATGAAACTGAAGCAGACTATTTAAAACAAACATTTGTTGAAGAAGATTCCAAGGAGAATGAATCAAAGTCAACAACCAGTACAAAGACAAGTTTAAATTCGAAAAAATTACAACTTATAATTCATAGTTTAATTGAAAGATTAATTATTGAAGGTTGGATTATTCCAGGTAACCAGTCAATCGGTGGAATGCCAGCGTATCATGTAAGTGTTGCTCACTTTCAAGTTTTTTCCTCTATCTCTCTCTCGCTCTCACTTTTGAGTATTTTCAACTTACAACTTGTGGCCAAGTTAAACTTTCAACACCACTAACAACCAATCAGAAAACGAACTTGAATGGGCCAATCACATGAAAGAGGGATGTTTGATAAAGGAAAACGTGCATTTATGGAAAAAAAGCGTAAAAAAAGCATAAAACTGTTATAGAGGGTATCTTTCTCTAACATGTGATAGAAACATCTCCCAGTTAAGCACAGGACTGTCAACAGAGAAGTCACACCACATTCTGTACAAATATTCATCCAAGTGACTATAAATGAGATCCCTTTAAGATCCATTTATAGCCCTAATCCTATTTTTCAACCTCCCCCAAAATCCTTCAATAGAATTTGTGTGTGTCCTCGTAATAGAATCGACAAAATCACTGGAATGGTTCACTCTATGATGGATATATTCAAGAGATGACAGAGAGTTGTAACCTTTCCATTCATCCGTATGTATTATTGATCCCCGTTTCACAAGTCTGGTAATAATAGGTATTAGAGTAGCTGCCTTTCTATCTATTATTCTTTCCACGAATCTTTTTCGGAGGGAGGTGTCGTATAAACCAATTACGCAAATATTGTTGGCTCGCTGACGACCACGGTTGTACTTTTTCTTCAGCAACACAGTTTCATCGACGTGCACAACGGTGTCTTCTCCACCCAACAAAGAAGTAATTTTCTCCATTTCCCATGATGCAATTTCTCTGCAGTGCTAATACCACTGAACTGTTGAAACGAGACTATTCTCGGTTTCAGCAGCTGTGGCTCTCACCGGCTGTTTTAAGACCCAGTAGTAGCAAATATATAAAAAATTGGCGTTAAGGAGAGATGCGACCTTGCAAAACAAGTACCTACGAAATATTAAAATTACCTTCTCTAATGCTAACTCGTCTCAAACAAATTGCACAACGATGGACATATCCATCAATCGACCTGTTAAAGCTTTTTAAATTCATCACACCACTACACGAACAAATTCTCTCCTTCCTAAGCAACCTCAAATCTAGGCAATACTGGAAAACATTATCCTCCTCGAATTGCAACCGTAACTTCGTTAGGGCACGCATTTGAAACGAATCAAGCACTATACAACAATGAACTCACGTTCATGAATTTCATTGGACAATTCGACATCGTTCGCTGATTGGTATTTAGTGGTGCTTAAAGTTTAACTTGGTCCAACTTGTCTTTGTCAAAATGTAAGATGGAACTTACATGTGTGGACTCCAAGTTTAAGGATGAGTAGCGAAGTGATTCTGTCAACAACTTTATTTATTCAGAAAGTTGTATCAGCTATAATTGACTGATTACTGCAGGTATCTCATCTTAGAGATACAGAAAGCTTGTTAGCAAAGTTAAACTATCTTATAGCCAAAGCTACAGTGACCTTTAGCAACCAATCGGAATTCAGATACGAAAAAGTCGTATACTTGTTGAGAAATGCACTAAAAAACATTGCAAACATGATATTATACTATATAATTGTTGCTTATGTGTTGCAAGAATGTCTTCCAAGGGGATCATATCATGCACGATAGATGCATTCATCCGGGTGACTGTAGGTCATGGTACTTTGAGATCTATTGATATTTCTGACACTGTTCTTTGACTTACTCCTAACTCTAACCCTAATCCTAACTCCTGATTCTAAATTTAATCCTAACCTTAACCCTAGATCGTAAACCTTAATCTAAAAAGCCACAACTCTACCTAACAGTATAGTTTTATAGTAAAAGTATCTAGTATCTTCTCCAAGTTCAAAAAGGCAGGCATGATTTTGTTTGGAACGACCTTTCATAGCATTCCCTGTATTTGATCTATCTGTCTCTGTCTGTTTTCGACATAGAACTTTGTACAGATGTGCAACAGTTCAAGTCGCCATACTCCCGAATGCAAAATAGAGATAGTAGACAGGGATATGAGATAAAAGGAATAGTAATAACGAAGAACAATATAGTTTCATTGGAAATTATAGGTCACAAGGAGTGGATGCATCTGCACTATGCATTGAGAACGATTTTTAGCCATATCACCGATTGTTTCCAGTCATTGGTTTTTACCGTCCCGAGGACCCCAACTAGTCAGGAAGTCTACATCTTCCTACGCGGCTGGGTTGAAGCTACTGTTGTGGATTTCATTGACTGATGAAGCCATGTTTTGGTTTGACCGTCGCTAGCTCTTTTCCAGCGCGACCCTATGTCAGCTACCATTGCCTGTCGATCGAGGAAGGCGATAACTAGGCTAGGCACGGCTAACACATGTCCTCACCATCTCAGTCGATATAACTTCACAGCCTCGTCTGTTGATTTACACTCTTTACCTAGAACTCGACGCGTAACCTCAATATTGCTCACCCTATTACACCACTTCACACGGGAGATAGAACGCAGGCACCTATGATCAAAGACAGCTAGTCTTATCATGTATTCCATTTTCAATGGCCAGGTCTCACAGTCATAAAAAGGAACGGGGCGGACTGCTGAGCAGTACACTTGCCCTTTGGTCGATAGCCGGCTATCACGTCTACGCCAGAGATGGCGTAAACTAGCATATTCGAAAGTAGCCTTCTGTATCCGTGGTGAGATTTCGTCAGAGATCAGTAAGTTGGGGCTGATGCAACTTCCCTGTATCTGATTGGTTATTGGAGGTTAGCCTTTGAAAGACCTTAGCTTTGGCTATGATACTTTAACTTCTCCAGTTTGTTTGATGTCCACCAACTTGCGTCATCTTTGGCATATGTGATAGCCGGTGCATTGTGCGTCAGTTCACCCTGTCCTAATTTATGGCCATTAGATGTAGAAGATATGGAAAGATTATTGCCTTTTGACCATAGGTGGTACCTTTGTTTGATTTCTCATGTCGCGTGGAGCAATGTGTAAAGTAATAATGAAGTTAAGCATGTAGTGCTGAAAGTCACTTGATGAGATTGTGAAGCAGGGTCTATTAAGATGGCTGGAATATGGGCTGCACACTCCCCGATTCACCATCTTCCTCGACTAAAAATTATTGACGCAATGCGGCTAAGCTGCGGATAGTTAACGGGGAAGATGACTTCAATCCATGAAGGCAACGAATGTTTGCTTCAAGCGATGTATGAAGGGGTAAACTGCTTGATCTTTGTCGTGGGAGTGTTAAGAATTAGTGGTTGTAGACTGTTGATAACATAGCTCAAAATCGTTGACAGTAATGCACACGTAATCACTCTTTGTTGTCTCATGTCGGACCGCGAATTGATATCGATTGCATAAACACTGAAAACCAAGGGGTACTGGACAGCCGTTTCATCCTAGTTTAGGCCTCATCAGCAGTACGCATCCATCCTACAAACTAACTGTTGAAAACTAATCTGATGTTCGCTAGTGACTGGTCACAGGGAGAAGTGAACAGTAGAGACCAGTGGGGTCCACGTGGCCGGACATGAGGACTAATACTGACCTATGACATTGGCTGGCCGTCACGCTAGGATCACAAATTGGTAGAAGTTAGAATTCATAGGCTAGCCATTGAGTCAGGTCTCAACGGCTGGATGGTCTACGAGCTTGCCTTGTAAGTGGAAGGTCATGGTTTTGAACTCCGGCGGGCATGTAATGCGGATGAGTTCCAAACTAGGACGAAACAGCTATCCAGCACTCCCTGGCTTTTTCAATGGTTCTCCAATTGATATCAATCCGTGGTTAAAAATGCAACAAGTCAAATCCCTATAAACTAACTCCCGAAAACTCTTTGTTGTCATCCAGTCTCTGGAAATCTTCACCAATTCTAGTCTGACTATCCTCTTTCACGTTTCAACAATCTTAAACTCAAGTCTGTGTGGCTTAAAAACATGAGGACATTATTCACGCTAGAGAGTAACTATGATTATCTTAAGGCAGCCAAGTCCATGCTCCGCCGCTCCGTGGAGACTACCCTATGTGCATTGCAAGACGTGAAACTCTTATTTCATTGTACATAGTCCTGTTATTAGTCTTTTTCCATATCCAATTGCCCGTTATTGCCTGTCGTTCACTCTGGAACACCCTATATGCGGTGACAGACTTGACACTCTGTAACCATAATATATTTTTCTAATATTGGCGCCTCTATATTAAAACCTATAAGTCTTGTTTTTGCTATTTAGTCAGCGGCAGCATTCCGTCCGGTGCTCTGAGTATCAACATGAACAAACTCATCTGAGCACGGGTTGTGGCGAAACCAAGAGTCTAGTTACACGCAGCAGGCACCTCCTCCTGGCGCCCACTGGGGAGGATTCAGTATACTGGACTCAAGCTAAGCATTGCCGAAAGCATGAACAACATTCGCGTCTGGCTACTCAGCTCAAGTGAACGGTGTGGAATAACCCCTCAGACTCAATGTGAACTATGGGAGTCTGGGCGACCCAGGTCACTGGAGGTTTGGGAGAGAGGACCGGGACCAATTAACTTGTGACTCATTGTTAGCGAGTGGCCGTTGATGATGTGGTAACCCTATCACGGATTGCATTCGACACGACGGCCGAGTCAGGAATAGTGTTCATGCAGTGGGGAAGTGGATCTCTTGTCCATGAGGCAGCATGCACTGTCTCCAGATGTTCATGTTCTGTGACTGATGACGGGGAAGCACATAGGTTGTTCGGATGCGTAAACAGCAGTTTTCAAGAGAGAATTGATCTGAGATTGCATCAGTCATTAGGTCAGCTCGTGTCACAACAGATGTACAGTCTACCCCTCGGCTCCGGTGTCGACGGCATTGGTAGTAATCATAGGCAATGGGGATAAAACTTCCGCGCCCTCCTACAAGACATGTTACATGACGCTGCACTACAATAAACAGTCAAATGATGTCTGTGATATCATAAAATGAACCCATAGCATTAAAATCAAATCCTACCTCGACTCGGATTTTTATATTCCGCCTTCAGTCACCAGCCATTACATAGATAACAGTCTGCTAACTCACTGTCAAATGCAAATGAAATAAATACGCGCTTTCCAGTTTTGTACTTTCACTTCTTTCTGTTATTGTAGGAATAACAGCGCAATTTATATCGGCTACGCTGACTGGCGTTTAATACTACTACTACTGCTACTAAAATAATTTGCTTTATTCCGAAACAGTACTAATGTTACAGTATGGAATTTTAAGCATTTGGTACAATATCGCATCTAACTTTATCGAATAATATTAAAAACAATCATAAAGATAATATTACAGGATTATTGATGACAGTTCTTATGTGGTATAAATAGTGACGGTGAAATCATGTTTATACAAAATTTGTAAATAATAATAATAAGGTTAACAGCCGAGACTGTCAGTTCATCGAGACAGTGTCATCATAGATTACAAATAGGAGATAATAAAAGAGCCGATTATTTTGCTAATATCATAATAATTCATAGGTTTCCCACATAACATTGTCTCTACCGCATGAAACGTGGGCCGAATACAGTATCCTTGAGTTCCTATACTTGATAGTACTAGTATATAATCTTTTGCACTAACTTCTAGTTCTACCAGATGAGATAAAAGGGTAGAGTTGCGAGTAGAGATGGTGTTGAGGGTCAGACAGTATAGATTTAGACCATTTCTCGCATGATTTTAGATGTCTATCAACTAATGTAACAGTCTAAGTTGCCCTACTGACAACCTTCAATATCCTTCTCAAAATGACATAGTCCCTCTTCAGTAGCCCAGGTGGGATTAAGGGAGAGCAGTAAAATACAGTAGGTAAGATACAAGAGTTAACAAATTCTAAAAGTAGAGGTGGAGTGATTCCAGATTGTTTTAGCTTTTCGACCTAGTAGCGTAGATGGGACATTTTCTTGGAGATTGACAAAATATGGGATGACCAAGTAAGGTCAGAGGATTAAACTATACCAAGGTATTTTGTGTTAGACTTAGTTTCTATTACAGTCCCCTCTATGCTACAAGCATCATGTGTATTAACCAGTCGTTGCAGATCACGTTTATGTCTAAAGGAGAAGTCAATAGTCTGACATTTTGAGGGACTTACCGTAAGACCATTTAGCTTAGACCACTGACTGATGTCCGACCGAAATCTATTAATTTCGCAACAGTCTGATCGAGACTTAACAGGAAGCGAGACGGTCAGCATATTTGACGAAGTCGATTTCATTCGAAAGAGGTAAGTTATATAAGAAGAAAGGAAAAAAGAAAGGAGAGAGAACAGCAGCACCCTGAGAAACACCAGCTTCAGTAAGCAAGGTAGAAGAAGACTCACTCTTATATACAGTATCCTGCATTCCATTTGAGAAATAAGGATGCAACCAGTCAACAGTCCAGGACTCAGTTTGTATAAGGGAAAGGTTATTTAACAAAAGGCATCTAGGTACTGAGTCGAAAGCAAATGTGTAGTCAAGGTAGATACAACGTACATATTTGGACGCTTTGTCTAAGGAGAAGACAGTGTTATGAGGTAATCCAGCTGCAGCATCTGAAGTACTTCTGCCCTGTCTGTAAACAAACTGTTTGGGATCATTTAAATTTTTTTTGAGAGGGTACAAGGTTGATTAAGAGTAATTTCCCCATTGATTTCAAAGAAGGCGAGGTGATTGCATTTGATCTAAATTTAACATTATTACCAGAACTTATGTGCAATAAATTAGGTAAACGTTGTGATTGTTACTATTGTATTAACACAGAGGTAAAAACTTGCTTAACATAAGGCTATATCAACAATACCTGTTTACATGATATTTATTGCTTTATAGGTTGTCAAAGAAAACCGACAATTGTTAGATGCTGTGTATAGTGTCATTCGTTTAAGTAAGTATTACTATTATTATTATTTTTCATGTTATATTAAGTGACAGATGTGTTAAAACTAGCTACATTTGTAAAATAATTCAGGAAGATTCATCGATCTTAGAATCCTAAATGAAGGGAATTATGAAGTTGTCTCCATATATAAAGACTTTACCGTTGGATTGGATACAGAAAGTGGCTGACTAAGTCGGGGTGTGCATACTGGAGATGCAGAACAGCTAGGTTACAGATCGTCCAAGAGAAGCACCTCATTTATTTCCATTACACTTCTCTGTGTTAGCAGTACACGACTTCGCCGTCGGACTCTCAACATAGTGTAAATGACTTACATTTATGATGTCATCTGCGGTTAGTCTGATTGCTATCCAGACAAATTTTCTGAAATTTATGGGAACATTCTTCCCAGCCATTGTAGCAAGTTGGATCACTGAGAAGTGAAAAATACGCATGTGACATAAATCAAAAAGAGACATAGATGGTCAGTAAAGAATAGCCTTTTGCATAACTTCACTTCAAAGTTTTACAGTTAGTTATATAATGTTGTGTAGAAGGTCAGGGGATTGTCAATAAGGTGGTCTCTTCCTCATATTAGTGGGTAACAAGGTATATGAATTTATATATCAAGCAAAATAATAATAAATTGCGCTATCTATAAACAATAAGTTATGAGTATCGTTCATTAATGGTTACCATTAGAAAAAAAAGTTAAAAATGACAGGCGCTGTACAAAAGATCATTCAGAAGTGTAAGTGATTCAGAATATTTATAAATTTTAATTTAAAGTTGAGAGTTTTTGATTTAGTTATTTGTTTTTTAAATTTTTTCACGAGAAATCTAAAAATTCACTTCAAATTGAAGTATGTGCTGAAGATGTTGTTGTCTAGTTAGGGCAGTGAAAACTTCGCGAGTAAACCAACTAGCTCAGAGAACACAACTACATCAAAATTACCCACCTGAGTTACAAATTTTCTCCATTATATCTAAAGTTAGGAGTTTTATGATTATTATTATATCCTTTAATTCCTAGAGGAACATAGGGCTTCAGCCGTGCGTCCCCATTGCGTTCGGTTCTCTGCTAGAGTTTTCATCTGGTTCCAAGTCTGCCCACACGTTTTCATCTCCTCTTCACATGACCTCCTCCTAGTCACCCTTAGACGACCAACTCGCCGCTTCCCTTTCGGGTTCCACTCAAGGGCTAGTCTAGTGATGTTGCTTGATGGTTTCCTTAGAGTATGACTAGTCCATCTCCATTTCTTCCTGCCTATTTGTTTCACAGTCGGTTCCTGGTTGGTTCGCTCCCAGTGATCCCCGCTGCTGCTGATATTTTCTGGCCGGTCATCTGATCTTGAGCGAAGACAGCTGTTGATGAAGGTCTGTAGTTTGTTTGAGGTGCTCTTTATGACGCGCCAAGTCTCTGATCCGTATAGTAGCACTGACTGACTTCACATTGGAGTTGGAAATCTGGATCTTATATTTCATGCTGAGTGCTGTCGACCTCCACACAGACTTGAGAGTAGTGAAAGCTTGTCTTGCTTTTCTGATTCTTGCTTTGATATCCTCGTCAGTTCCGCCGCCTGTAGTTGAGACGATGCTTCCCAGGTAGGTAAAAGAGGTTGTTTCTTTCAGGTTCCTCTCATTTATCTTCGTCCTATTTCTTGATGTGAAGCCAGTGCTATTTTATGGGTCAGAGACTTGGCGCGTCATAAAGAGCACCTCAAACAAACTACAGACCTTCATCAACAGCTGTCTTCGCTCAATACTTCGCTCAAGATCAGATGACCGGCCAGAAAAGATCAGCAACAGGGACCTCTGGCAATAAGCGAACCAACCCAGCAGGAACCGATTGTGCAACAAATCTGCAGGAAGAAATGGAGGTGGATTGGCTAGCCATACTCTGAGAAAAGAAACCATCAAGTGACATCACAAGACAGGATATCGCTCGAACGGGAAGAGGCGAGTTGGTCGTCCAAGGGTGACATGGAGGAAGTGATGTGAAAAGGACATGAAAGCATGTGGTCAAACGTGGAGCAAGGTGAAAACGTTGGCAGACAACCGAACTCAATGGAGACGTGCGGCTGAAGCCCTATGTTCCTCTAGTAACCAAAGGAAATAATAATAATAATTTCTTGATATGACCGACTGACTGACCTTATTCGCAATCCCCCTCACCTTTAGAAACTCTATATAACTCTATAGCTTTCAAGTGGAATTACGAAAAGAATATTCTTTGCTGGCCGCTTATGTCTTTTTAATTTATGTCGTTTTGGTATGTATGTTTGGTGACCACATCAAGGTTGACTCTATGTGTCGGGATTTCAAAATCCATCTTTATGTAATAAGCTTAAGGTGAACAAGTGACCGCTAGTGGTATTCATGATAAATTCAAGTATACTGTTGATGCTCCATAATAGACAAGATTTTATTTCGATAAATCACAGTGTCATCAAAATAAAATCTCATCTATAATGGAGTTATACTTTACCACAGTGCCCAAGCTTTTTACTCATACTGTTGATTATGTAGTAACGCTTGGCCGATGATTAAAATCACTGCTGGTCAGATCATATTCTGTGTGTACCCTCTCCCATTATAAGAATGGGCAAAGCCGCTTTATTGTGAAGGAGTAAATGACAAACACAAAACAAAGGCATCCTATCCATGAAAATAACCAATAAGTAAAATAATTCAAGCCATTGTGTTTTACTTGAGGTAATGACCGTGAATTCTGACGAGAGCTTACTTCTGGTTGACCACATGTGACTTTTTGAGGGGTTTCAGTTTGCTTCGTTGTGTTTGTGTTAAAACGGACAAGCTTCTTTACTAGCCACAAAGTCATGATTTATGCATTTACTAACATGATAACCTTATTGGAAAGTTTCGATTGGTTTAATTATGGCTTAATCCTCTGAGGTGTTTTAAATGTAATATGCCATTTATTTTGTGTCTAATGAGCGTTATTGTCGGTCGTCGTTGTTCTTCCTAGTCTCCTGAGCTTGTGTCTATTCCAGTGCGGGAAAGAAATTCAAATGAGAAGTTGGTTATGGTGTTGTGTTTTGGAGGTGCGTTGTAGTCAGGTTAGACAACCTCCAAAATAGTAGCACTCCGTCATAACATTTCCATAGGAAGCGGTTAAAGCCAGATATGAAATTTTAGGCCATTGACTGTTGAGGTAGAAGATTTTGTGTTTCAGTGTTAGTTATGGTAATTTTATTAGAGAATCTTTGAACACATACTAAAGGGGTTGACCTAATGCAGCCGGATGCCTCACCTTTCAAACTAATCAAACTGGTGTATTTAACCGCTGAAACTGGCTTGATTTTATGCGTATTAGTAGTGTACGATGTATTTTTATCTAATAAAAGTTGTCTTCACCGGTCATTCTTTATCGTCTGACATTTCTGGTGCTCAGTAAAGTAGGAAATATTTAAGGGAAATCAGGTGCATTCGATATTCAGTGAAGTTGCCTATTGCACCTACGTATCCTTATACTCATTGGTTCCATCGGCTATGTAAACCCGTGAGGCAACCTTAGGTGCATGGAACTCATTAGCTTTTCTCACTAACAAAAACAAATTGCAGATAGGCTGACGGGTTCCTTTTATTCTCGGAGAATATTATCATCCGAAAGTGTGACGGCACACTCTAGTCATATGTTTCTAAGATAAATGTTGAAAACAATTGCTTCTTGCTGTTAACAGTCACTAATTCGACATCTAGTCAATTAGAATGGAAACATATTTACCCTTGACTCCACTTTACCGAATTGCTTTGTGTTTTTTGTAACACAATCTACTTGTTAGTCAATAATTGTATTCAAATAAAATGTAGGTTTATGATGGAGAGTGGTCTGATAGAGTGTGAGTCTCTCTGCCTGTCTGTTTTCAACATAGAATTTTGCACCGATGTGCAGCAGTTCAAGTCGCCACACTCCCTCCATGTAGTACACAAAACACGAGAAGAAAGTAGAAGAAATGCAAAATAGAGACGGTAGACAGGGATATGAGACAAAGTAATAGTAATAACGAAGAACAATATAGTTTCATTGGGTATTATAAGTCACAAGGAGTGGATGCATCCGCGCTATGCATTGAGAAGGATTTTGAGCCATATCACCGATCGTCTCCAGCCATTGGTTTTTATCATCCCGAGGACCCCAATCAGTCAGGAAGTCTACACCTTCCTACGTGGCTAGCTTAAAGTAACTATTGTGGATTTCATTGACTGATGATCCGCCGCTAGCTCTTTTCTAGCCTGACCGTATGTCAGCTAACATTGCCCATTGTCGAGGAAGGCGATGACTAGGCATATGTAACACATGTCCTAACCATCTTAATTGGTGTAACTTTACAGCCTCGTCTATTGATTTCCACTCTTTATTTAGCACTCGACTGACGCCTAACCTCAACATTGTTCACCCTATTATACCACTTCACACAGGAGATAAATCGCAGGCACTTATAATCAAAGACAGCCGGCTAGCCAATCTTTTCGTGTCTTCTACTCTCAATGTTCAAGTCTCATAGCCATAAAGGAGGACGGAGCGGACTTCTGAGCAGTGCACCCACCCTTTGGTCGATAGATGAATATCACGTCTACTAAGCCAGAGACGACGTAAACTGGCATATTCGAAACTAGTCTTCTGTATCCGTGCTGAGATTAAGTCAGCGATCAACTCGTTGGCACTGGCTGATGCAACTTCCCGAATAAGTGAAGTGGTCAACACGCTCTACCACTTCATAGACTGTGAGTATTCCTGGAAGACCTCCTTTACTTTCCGCGTAGAGCATAGGACTTCAAGCTTTAAAGTTTCAGTACAGGTGGTATTGTTTTATACGTTTCAGCTTCCCTCTTTACCGGCTAGGTGAGGTTTAGGCGTGTACCGGCTGAGAATCGAATCCCGACAAAATGCGTAGTTGGCGAGAATTCTACCATTAAACCACCGATGCATTTATGTGTATTTTTTTTCTGGAGTTAGTCTATAGGGATTTGATTTGTCTCCAGCTTGATCGTGGGTTGATATTAGTTAGAGAACTATCGAAAACCAGAGAGTGCTGTATAGCTGTTTCATCCCAGTTCGGAACTCACTGGAAGTACTCACCCATCGCCAAGGCTCTAACCCCAGGACCTTCCAGTCACAAGGCAAGCTCGTAGTCCATCCAGGCACTGGGACCCGACTCGATGGTTAGCCCATGAGTTTTAACATCTATCAATTCATGCTTTTAGCGCAACCACCAGCCAATGTCATCGCTGGCGAGTATTTGTCCTCACTCCTGACCTGATGAATCCCATTGACCATTACTTCTCACTAGAACTCCAGGCAAATTCATCCTGTAATCATTCACTAGCGAGCATCAGAATAACTCCCGAGAGCTAGTTTGTAGAGATTTGATTTGTTTCAAGTTTGACCACGGACTTTTAGAGAACCATTGAAAACCACAGTTCGAACCCCAGTGGGTGCATGCTGCCGATGATTCCTAAACAAAGATGGAACAGCTGTCCAGGACTGCTGGGTTTTCAATGATTCTCTCTAACTGATATCAATCCGTGGTCAAACTTGTAGAACCACTATTGCTATTTAATCAATCAGTATCTTTTCTTTTTCAAAAAACAATCTAATTCCTTTTCTACTCCCCCTCCCCCGTATCCTGCTTACTCCAAAAATACTGTTTTTTTTCTCTCTTTGTTTTTAGGTTTTGGCAGTAAAGAATCATCTGTACAGAGTATACTGGATCGTGTTCGACAGTATTCACATTCTAGTGTTCGTCAGTGCATAACACGTATGACATTGAATGCATTAAAACATTTATTAAATCAATTAGAATGTGATAGTAGAATATATCAAAGTAATTCAGGTTATTATAAAGTTGCATAAATTAGAAAAGGACAGAAAAAAAGAAGACGAAAAAGAGTAAAGCAAAGAAGAGCTATTCATTATTTTTATTGAGCGTTTTATGGTATTTTTATTTTTACATTTTTGTATTCCACTGTTATGATTACTGTAAATAAGTTTATTTTGTTTCGTGAGTTGTTTTATTATCATTATTAATTCTGGAGATCTGGCTCACTGGCTTGATTTCAGGCAAAGAGTCATGTGTTCGAATCTCAATCCACCTACATTGGCTAGACTAACCATGTAACATTGCAACGACAGAAGACAAGGGCCAGGGAACAGATCGTTTATTGAGAAAATCAACAGATATTTATAGATTTTTATGTACATTATTATTAGCACTATTGTTAGCAGAGAAACAGCTACTTCTGATTGGTCGTTTTCTCTCCATTTCTTTGAAGGTTAGACCATATATCTGCGAATCGTATCCGCCCACGCAAAGTCTCCTCTGCTTGGCTGTTGAGTTAGTCTTTGTTTTTGTTTTTTTCTCATGACCAAGATTTGGGACGTTAACATTGACGTAAATTGCTGTCTACCAATTTTGGCTAGCAGGCAGCTCTCACCACAGTATCATTAGCCTTCACACAATAGGTGTAGCTCGAAGCCTGCTAAATGAGAAGTATATGCATCGTAATTGAAGTCGGGAATAAAGATGAACAGGTTGAGGGTATTTGTATACTTTTTGAATAATATTATCAACCGAATGTAAAGGTCTCTAATGTTAACATCAAACCAGTTGATCGAGCACTGTTATTTACAAGTTTTGCGTTGTTAGAATTTGACCAATTGCAAGGCAAATTTCCTTACTAACAGAAATCGGTTAAGAAACCTTTAAAGTCCACTAAGCGCTTGATAGCTGTTTCGTCTGAGTATGCTACTCTTCAACAGTGGAAGCCGAAAATTCCATCAGCCTCGGCAGACTGATTGCTGACGAAATTTCAACGCGAATACAAAAGGCTGGTGTGTCATTTCCTGAATTACGTCATATCTGGCGTAGATGTGATATCTGGCAGTCGACCAAAGTACATGCACACCAGTTCTCTCTATTCTCCTTTATAACTGTGAGACATGGTCATTTGAAAGTAGAAGGTATTAAAAGGCTATCCATCTTTGATCATAGGCGTCTGCGTCCTATGTCGCATGTCAGGCAGTATAATAGGGTGAGTAATATTGAGGTTAGGCGTCCAGTTCTTATGCCAAGCCAACGCTCTCCTCTACGAGAAATGTTAGCCAACATAGAATCAGGTTGGAAAAGAGTTAGGAGTGGTTAAACCAAAACTTGAAATCTTTAACAGTTGGTTCGAGCCAGCCATTTAGGAAGATGCAAACTACCAGGTTAGGGTCTCCGCTGTATTAAGAACAAATGGCTTGAGACTATTGGTGATATGGCTGAAAATCGTTCTGAGTTGCATCTATGCATTCACTCTCTGTAATCCTCCATATACACTAAACCATCACGCTTTTCTGTGTTTCTTTACTTTGTCTGTCTCGTTTGTCTACCTTCATGTGTTACATTGACTCGAACTACTGTCCTTCTGTGCAAAGGTCTATGTTGAAACCAGTCATTCACAACCCCACCAGAGATATAACCTAGTGTGGTATATGCTATTGTCAACTATTTGTTGGTAGCTTGTGTGGTGTGACGTCTTCTCCAAAAGTCTTGAATCGCTAAATGACGAATAAAGTCACAAACAGGAAAAATGAAAATAATTTCGAAATCACCTATTAAGCATGAAATGAGGGCATAAGAAAGCTTGATATGAATACTTTTGCAATGTAACCTTTTTCAAATATTGTATCATAACTGTATGTCATTCTACGAAAAAAAAATCAACTCTGTGTTCTACCGTTGAACACCAGGACCTTCGGGTTACCAGAAGAAGTCACTGATCACTCATTCACCTGGAGTTCTGGTTACAGGTTGTGACCGCGTGGGGAGGGGGTCTACGTGCTTCAGTGTAATTGTTTGTTTCAGTGAAGTGTAGACAATCAATCGATGGTCATTTGTAATAATTCATTACTAAGAGAACCAATTTGTTTTTCTGTAAATATTTTTGGAATCTTTTAGGCTGACAGAATCCTTAGAGTTAGTTGTATTTCACAATACTCTATGTCATAGATATAGAAAATACACAATTCACATATATACTAGAATTTAATTGGTGGATGGTGACTAGCAGTGGAATCCAGGATGCGCATTTCGTCCTATTTGGGACTCATCATCTCGATGTACCTGCATTCCCCAGTGAGTTATGATGTTCCCACCGAGGCTCGAACCCAGTGCCCATATTTTCAAACGCCAAAGCGTTATCCACTAAACCACTTGGGCGATGAGAACCACCTCTTATGCAACGGGTCATATTAATTATTTAATTGAATTTTAGAATTTCCCGTAGGTGAGAACATCATCACTCACTGGGAAATGCAGGTATATCCAGATGATGAGTCTCAAATAGGACGAAATGCGCATCCTAGATTCCACTGCTAGTCACCATCCACCAGTTAAATTCGAATTAAATGCCCAGACATCGTCGAAGCATCTGCACAAGAAGCCGACATGTCAACCTAAGACCAAGCACTTCGGTCCAATCAATCGACGGAAAAATCTAAAATTCAATTAAATCACATAGATACTGTTTGTTACCAGGCTACTTACGGCTTAATTATTTGAAGTTTATAAGTTAACCGCACGAAATGGTTTATAGTCAAAGGAAATATAAGTGGTTAGCAGTTGATAGTACCAAGCTTACAAATAAATGTATGTTAGCTAACGAGTGACTTTGGGGTAATTTGGTAGATGGTGACTAGCAGTGGAATTCTAGGACAACGCGCATTTCGTTCTGTGTGGGACTCATCAACTGGATGTACCTCCATTTCCTAGTGAGTGCTGATGTTCTTACCGAAACTCGAGCCCAGCACCCATCTTTTCAAATGTCAAAGCGTCATCCGCTGCCAGTCGCCACCCACCAAATTGCTTCAGGTTAATCATCAGACGTCGCTGAAGTGTCCGTACTAGCAGCCCACACATGTCAACAGACTCTGAACATCGCTATCCAATCAATCAGCGAGAAAGTCAAAATTGAATTGAAAATAATAAGGAGTGACCTTATTACTATCGATATGATAAAGTTCTTGATCCTTTCAATTGAAATTAAACAAATCTAGGCGATGATAGAACAGAATTGTTCAACTTCCGTCATCTCTTCTTATTGAAGAAGTCAGTGCTGATTGTTTCACCAGTCTTTCCGCTAAAAGGCCAAAGAGTAATAATATGGTCACCGTTTATATATTGGAAATGAATAAAGCGCGAGGAAATCGCATGAACTGAGATTATGAACGGATGAAAGCAAAGGCGAATAAGCTAACATTCACCATTTATTGATTGGTTGTACTTTGAGTCATTGCATGATTATAGTCCCAGAACTCAAAGCCACATCAAATGCTGTCAGTCGAGTCTACCCGCGTTCACTTTTAGACAGGATGTCAAGAGATTACTTGCTTGTGAAAACCGCACAGGTCTCTGTAGTTTTATGAGTCGCTTCCATGTGATCGACAAACTGATCACCACATAGTAAATTATTTACTTTGAGTTCTAGTAGGAAGTCGTAATCACTGGGGTCCATCAATGCATTCAGGAGAAGGATATCCCACCAATGATATTGTCTGGCAATTGCTCTATATATCGCGAATAGGCGGAAGTTGGAATTTATAGGCTAGTGATTGAACTGGGACCCAACAGCTGAATGTTCTACGGGATCCCCAGGCAACCAGAAGGTCCTGGGTTCGAAACCCGGTGGATGTGTACTTCTGAATATGACTTCTTGCTACTAGATGGTTGGAGGCAATCGGCCACAGGAAGCCTTGGACCTAGGTTTCGTGCCAGTTGGCACTCATCAGCAAGGCGTATCTGCAACCTTGAAAGAACTGATGTCCCTTCTGAGATTCGAACCCGCGTCACCCAGTGCTGCAGTCAGAGACGTTACCACTGAGCTATTCAGGCTCGCGACTGACCTCCTGTAGGGCTGTATTGGATATTTTTGATTGAACACTGGTCAGTAACTAGTGTAAGGTTGCAGATACGCCTTGCTGATGAGTGTCAACTAGCACGAAACCTAGGTCCAAGGCTTCCTGCCGATTGCCTCCAACCATCTAGTACCAACAATTCACAGTGCACCGTAATGGCGAGCCACCTAGCATGGTGGCCACATTGCAAACATGACTGATAGAATTCAGTCTGCACCGAAGATAGGACTAGACACATTACACTAGTTACTGACTAGTGTTCAGTCAAAAAAAGAATATGACTTCGGAAAGCTAGAACAAAGTGTCTGTCCAGCACTCCCCGGGTTTCCAATGTTTCTCTAACTGATGTCAACTCACGATCTCCATCCTGTAATAAAATAAGGGTTCAGTAAATTCATTGTGATGGTAGCTAGCCTGAACGCTAAGTAGGATAAAGCTAAAGAATTTCCATCGGACTATTTTATCCGAAATTTCGAAAATGACAGAAATTATTGGTGAAAAAAATGAAATGATGGAATTGTTTTTAAAAATTTGATGAGATTTATCCTTATTCTGTTGAATATTGAAATCAACCTGTTAGTAATAAACTGTGGCATTACCTTTAGTTGTTAATTTCTATGCACCTTTGAACAAAAGTACGGTTAGGATACTTCCACCACCAGTTGCACTACATAGAGAAATATGTCAAAAATAGCATCATCGTAGATGTTCTTTCTTGCTAAACGGTGATTTTCCGTATGGCCAAAAATCCGGTAAACTTGTAATGGTATTAGCGAAAAATCTGAGGTTGCGTGAAAGACTTGTAGCTTCAAAATCGAGTACTTGATTGATAGGACCGTAAAGTGTCATCATCTCTTTCCTAACTTGGCCTAGAGCCAATCAGCCAATAGAATGTTTATTTTCCCTGGACTTAGTCGAATCACCTGCCAATCAGAACAACCTATTTTCCACTGCCCTAAGCAGATTTTAATGTGGTTATATAAATATAATGTGCTTTTTTTCCTTAAAAAGTTATATCTTAACAGTCATAGGCACCAGTCTTTGTCTTTTTATATTTACGTGGCTCATTGAAGCAAAAGACTTCACGGACGAAAAGGCGTATTTAGCATATCAGTTGAGTTGTCCATTGGGTCAAGTTAAGCTTTAAGCACCACTAAGTACCAATCAGCGAATGACCTCGTTTGGTCCAATCAGGTTCATCATGCGAGTTCAAGATTCTATTCCGCTTGATTCGAGACAAAGGCCTGCTCTAAC